CGGGGTGAAAATGTAAAGATTTTTTTTTAAGAATAAATATAATGAAACTGCATATCAGTTTTCTCCAAAAAAAATTCCTTTGCGAAAAAAAGAACACAAGATAAAATAAAATTAAATAATGAAAAGAATCGAAAACCTCAGCTGTTGAGCTTAGAACTCATGACAAGAAGACTTTCTTAAAGCTAGAATTCTTGACAAGCAGACTTTCTTAAAGTCAGAAATCATGACAAGCAGACTTTCTTAGAGCTAGAACTCATGACAAGCAGACTTTCTTTAAGCTAGAACTCATCTCAGGCTTTGTTACCTAATAGAATTTATTCATAGACTAAAAAGTAAGCTGACATTGGTTTAATGGTAATGTGATCCGAATACTTCATCATTAAACTGGTGATTTAGACGTGCCGTGTCGGGGTCAGATGTTGTTGTGCTGTGTGGACCTTTCAATTAAAATGTTTTATTTACTTATGATATACTTGCTTAACTGAAAACGAAAAGATTGTACATACAGAAAGGGCCTGGGGCAATGGGGTCACTTCCCAAGGCGTAAAACACCAGGAGTGTTCCACAATATTCTTTAGATTGAAATTTAATAGTGAAATAAACGACATCTAATGTATTTCATAAACACAAGGGGGGACCAAAATCTCTTTTTTTTAACTATGCGACATTTCATCTGTTTATTGAGGGGGCCTCCAAAAGTCCCGTGACGTAATAACGCTTAAATGTATTTACTATAGTTTTCGTTTCACATCTTTAGAATAATCATTTAGTTTATACATCTTATAGGATCACTGCCATTCGTGCTCAGTTGCCAGTAGACAGCGGTCAGTAGTCAGTAAGTAGTCAGTGGTCAGTAACCCCGCGTGTTGTAAAAGTAATTTTTATCCAGCTTTATGGGAATGATGTAACGTTCCGTGCCGGATTTCCCCATTAGGCCATGGCCTAGAGCACAGCAGTCCCCTGTCCCGGGGGGGGGGGGGGGGGGGGGTTGCGTATATACAAAGAAATAACAACCAAGTAATGACTCAATTTTCATTATCGTCTTCAAAATATTTTTTTACATGGAGATAAATTAAATAAAGAAATACCGTACCTCTACGCTGCTCGTTACTACAGTTTTTGTAAGACAACTTCAAGATATTCGATGGAAAAGTTTGTTCTTTAATTTATTTATTTTGTTGTTGTTGTTGATTTGCAAATTTCATATGTATTGTAGTAGTGTAGATTTAATTATAAATATAATTACGCGTTTTTCAACGTATTCAAAGATTGGTATTCGTGCTTATATTTAAAAAATAAACTATTAAATATTTTATTGGAAATTATGAATAAACATTTTCAAAAACAAAACAAAAAGGGAGGAAGGGGGTGGGGGAGGATTATGTTATTTGGCCTAGGGTGTAAATTAAGCCCTCTAATCTCTCAATATCTCGTGTTGTTTCAAAAGTTAATTGTTCGGCAACAGTTAAGTCACTCTATAAAAGACCAGACATAACCCATTGGAAGAGGAGCAATGGAAGCATTTCTTGAGCTCTTGTTCGGAAATAACCGTACGTGGGTTGATGCAGATTTGGTCACATGGCACATTACAGAAATAACCGTTCTGCCATTGGTCATTATCGTGGGACTTGCGGGGAACCTCCTCGTATTCTATATTTATCACTTCCGTTGGCAGAGCAACGAAGACACACTGTTTAAGCGGGTAAGTTAAAGCTGTTTGTATTACTTTAACATTGCTTTTATTTTTTACGCTGTTTTGATTAGGTTACTTTCTTACTCTCATGCATGTTAATTTTTCTAGTTCAAATCTTGTGATCAGTTTGGTATTTTTTCACATTACCTATATTTATATTCTTTCACTTCCTGTAATACTACTTCCGGGAACAACAAAGGAGATCTCTAAATTTTTTAACTGTCTTTGTTTCTTGTCGTATTTTCATTTCTCCTTTTCGCTGAAGAAGGCTCTAAGCCGAAAAGTTCACATCTTATTGCCCTGTCTTTTGATTCATGCTTCAACATACATTGTTCTGATAAATTTGGCCTTGCTTCTATTTTCAAAACTGACACCTTCTGTTTCACCTATCCAAAAGAATTTTATATTTTGAAACCTGTCACTTTTCTTTTTTCTCACCTGTCCAACAGTATTTTTAAACTATCACATACACAACTTTATTTTAAACATGCTGACCTCAGTCTCACCTGTACAACAATATTTTAAGCTTGAATTGGGGAGAGAGACTGCAATCAGATTAGCTAAAAAGGAAATGAGTAAAACAAAATGTGTGCAACTCTTAAAAAGTAACGCAACAGAACAACGAATATGTCGGCAGGAAGACTTCGTCAGTGAACAAACAATGGAAAAAACATAATTATTTTTTTTTTAAATTTAAATAATAGCAATTAGCTGAAAAGTAGTATCCGAGAAGAAGCAAAAGAATAATGACAGAAAAAAGTAGGGTGAGTTATTAAATACAAGCAAAAATGCAATGAAAAGTGGAGAATTAAATCCTCTGCGATTGGTCGTGATGTAGAGGGGTGGAGCGAAGGTTCGACATGTGAATCAAAACATGACGATCATGCCATGTCGTGTCAATGTTCCAAATCTGGCTACGCTTGTTTTCCAAATTTACCCGTTGTGTTTGAACTGATCCCAATCGGACAAATTAAAGCCCTCTACTTCAACCCTTTAATATTTACACAAACATAAACAAAAGCACACACACACAAACACACACACACACATATATAACCTTTGATAAATCTCTGTTTCCTAATTTTTATCATATTGGTTTCAAACAATAAGATCTGGAAAGGCCCATTTGGTTTGGTTTTAAGCTTTTGTGTGGGGCAAAACGCCCCTTGATATGGAACTCTTTTGGCGATATATTCAGTTGAGAGGCACTTACATAAGGAACGATATTGGCTATCTTTTTTGTATGTTATAATGTAGAGGCTGACCAAAAGTGATTTTCTGATTTCGGCCGAAGCCGAAAATAGGCCGAAAGTTTAAGATGACTTTTGGCCGAAACCGAAAAAATACCGAAAGTTTAAAAATGACTTTCGGCCGAAACCGAAAAAAGGCCGAAAGTTAAAAATGAATTTCGGCCGAAACCGAAGCCGAAACCGAAAATGAAATGTTAAGATATTTTGAAATTCGTTCCCGCATACATTCTGAATATATCGAAAATGATGGGGAAAGTATAAATATTTACATTCTTTTTATAAAAAATGAGATAATCGTGAATATTAACAAATAAACATCTATTATAAGGGTCTCAAACTCGCGGCCCGCGAGCCATTTATGACACGCAAGACGATATTTCGCGGCCCGCTACATGACAGAAAAGTTTAGTGTAAATGCGCCGGCCTGTTTCCCCCATTCTCATATCTATAACGTGACTCTCCGCGACGGTTTCAGTCGAATCTTACAGACTAGTCTAATTCTGATTATTTTTTAAAATGTTTCTATGTATTTTTGTATTCAACAGTGAATAGGTGGATGAAAGTGAATCCTAGTTCTTGAGAACCCTTAATGATTTTATTGTTATTTATAAAGGTTGAGCAGATTGTTAAAGTTTTAATCGCTTTTGTTGTGGATTACTTGATGCGGCCCACTCTCATTCAGACACTACCTCCTGCGCCCCCCCCCCATCCCCCCCACCGCTGACGATTTGAGTTTGAGACCCTTGATCTAATGAATACTTTGGATTTTACTATTTTAATATAAAAGTAATTTAAATTGCTTTACAATTTTTTAAAATTAATATTGTAGGAGAAAATTTTGCAAAAATTGGGGTGGGGGGGGGGGGGTTAAAGGAAAAAATTTTTTTTTTTAAACCGGGCTTTAAAAATTTGGGGTTTAAAAAGTTCCTTTATTTTTTTTTAAAAAATGGTTTTTTGATTTTTCTATTTTAATATAAAAGTAATTTTAATTGCTTTAAAATTTTTTTAAATTAGGATTGTAGGAAAAAATTTTTCAAAAATTGGGGTTGGGGGGGGGGGGGGGGAATTAATGCAAGATATTATTTTTCTAAACCGGGTCTCTAAAAATTGTGGTTCTAAAAGATCGCTTAATTTGTTTTTAAAAATCGTTTAGTTGGTTGTTATTGATCGGTTAGTTTGTTCTTAAAGATCGGTGAGTTTGTTCATAAGATCGCTTAGTTTGTTCTAAAATATCGCTAAGTTTAATCTTAAAGATCGCTTAATTTGTTCTTAAAGATCGCTTAGTTTGTTATTAAAGATTGCTTAGTTTGTTGTTAAAGATTGTTTAGTTTGTTCTTAAAGATCTTTTAATTTGTTGTTGAAGATCGTTTAGTTTGTTGTCAAAGATCGTTTAGTTTGTTGTCAAAGATCGTTTAGTTTGTTCTTAAAGATCGCTTAGTTTGTTGTTAAAGATGGCCCAGTTTTTGTTAATGATCGCTTTATTTGTTCTTAAAGATCGTTTAGTTTGTTGTCAAAGATCGATTAGTTTGTTGTCAAAGATTGTTTAACCGAAACTTGGCCGAAAGTGATAAAACGGCCACTTTCGGCGCCGAAACCGAAACCGAAGCCGAAATTCGGTCGACCTCTATTATAATTTTTTCAATACTTGATAAGCTCTCTTCGAATGGATCAGGAACAGTGAAATAAAGAAATGTATTTATCTAGTGTGCCATTTTTGGGAACACCCTATAACTCAACAATGAGATTTATGAGAACAATTTTCTCTTCGCATTCTCATTTTATTAATATTTTCAGGTAACCTGTGTGAATTACGTGCACACAAAAGTATCATAAAATCACAACCTCCGGCATAAATGGGTTAAATCGCGAATCTTCTGTCTCATTTGTCCAACAGTATTATAAACCTCTTACCTTCTGTCTCACCTGTCTAACCAGTATATTCACACTATCACCTTCTGTCTCACCTGTCTAACTAGTATATTCACACTATCACCTTCTGTCTCACCTGTCTAACTAGTATATTCACACTGTCACCTTCTGTCTCACCTGTCTAACCAGTATATTCATACTATCACCTTTTGTCTCACCTGTCCAACCAGTATTTAGCACTCATTGATATCATCAATGTGACGCTGGCCCTCCCCGCCCTTCTCTACCTCACCATCTACAACCACACCGACAACTTCAACGAGACGTGCATCTTCTTGTCTTACGTGGCACTGTGGACGGCGACATTGTCTGGGGATGTGCTCATCCTGATCGCTGTAGACAGGTAAGTCATACGTGTTGGTCATGTACTGCCTCCAGGTCTATTTCCATTCGTCTTTACTAAGTCTCACCATTGGATCAAAAAGGCAATGGTGAGAGGGTGTGCCTGACGAACTGGGCAGCTCTCCCGCAATTTAAACAAAATACAGCTCAAGGCTGCTTACTCAAGTCGAACATTGCCTTGTCATCTTCGAGTACCAAGGACGAAAATATATACGTTGACTCTAGTAGTTCACTCATCATGAATATAATGGCACAAGGTTAGTCATGTATATATTGGATTTGTAGTTTTGCTCAAAAGTTTGTTAAGGGGTAAAACAACAAATAATTGTAGCGATTCTTGGAGATCCTTTATTTCCCTTTTTTTAAAAAGTGAATATTTTATTTAAAATTCAGCATTTACAATTAGTATCAATAGGCGCTTCTTTCTGTATGAGCTTTGTCACTCAAAACGGCATAAATCTAATAATGTCATTGTGTTATTCCGTTTCCCCTAGCGATGTGATGTTGAACTCTAATTTGTTTTAGGTATTGATATCCGTGCTCATCTTGTACACATTTGCGTGACATATGTTTTTATCCCGTATATATTATTTATTTCAAACCCACTGTAATCAACCATTCTCTTGACAATCTTCTGTCCAGATACCTCAAACTATGTCTCCTGCGCCGGACCGGCCTCGGCGAGCCACTGATCAAAAAGCTCTTCGCACTAATCATCCTGGTTACCAGTGGCATGTATGTGCCCATCAGATGGATCTTCGGCAAGGACACGGTATACATGTTCAGCTACAACGTCCGCATCACCTACTGCTACATCCGGACAGAGAGTAAGCTGGGGAGCCTCGTCATGCCGTTCTTCACCTTGACGTCCAGCACCACGGCGGCGACCATGACCTTGTTCGTAGTGCTCTATTTCCAGATCATCCGAAAACTGCGCGAGCTCTCCGGGAAAAACGAGAAGCTGAAGTCGGGACGCGAGGACGACACGAGGGGCCGCAGTCAGCGGGAAGCGATGCACAAGTCCTCTGTTGTGTTTATCGTCATCACCGCGGTGTTCTTTTTTAGCTACGTCCTCTACTACTCCACTGTCATCGTCAGTGTAATGGATCCACTGGTCGAGGGGAGCTTGGGACCAAGCACGAAGGCTATTTTTGACCTAGCGAAATTCGGCCCACTCATCAATCACGTTACCAACCCGTTCATATACGGGTACTCTTCGGCTCGGTTCAGGAATGAGGTCGTGAAAATTATCACTTTCAAGGCGTTCGATCGAGATTTTTTTAAGCGTCGAAATGGGACGGGTGGGGGTGCCAGGGGGATTGAAGACGCTTAGAAAACGGGGGTGGGGGGGTTGCATGGTGGAAGGGGACAAGCAGCTGATTCAGATTGTGGGGCAAGTGGATAGTTCAGATGGAGGGGAGTCGATAATTCAAAAAGGGCAAATGAATAGTTCAGAACGGGGCACGTGAATATTTCAGAACGGGGCAAGTGGGTAGTTCGGAACGAAGCAAGTTGATAGTTCAAAAAAGGGCTAAAGACCTGTTCAGAACGGGGCAAGTGGGTAGTTCATAAGGAAAATGAGGATATTTCAGAAATGGACAAATCGATATTTCAAAACGGGGAAAGTTGATGTTTCCTCAAGGGACTATTGAATTTTAGAAGCAAAATACATGTGCCTAGTTATCATGTTATAATAACTATATAGCCGCTGAAGAGTTACGCCAAAACACTATTTTCTTGTGCTCTTTGGTCACAAACCCAGGAACACCTTCCATCGAGATTTTGAATTAATAAGTTACGGGATGTTATTATTACAGGGTGAAAATGTATTCATCAAATGCCCAGAAAGTGCTTGTTCCTTCCCACTGCGAAACAATAAGTCAAGGGATGCCCCCCCCCCTTCCGGCTCTAGGCTTTATGCCCGTTCCCCCGTCCCATTATGGCACGTTGATTAAGAGGCGCTGCCACCGACCCACTGGCGTTACCCGGGGCACAATATCACCATGTAGGGGACCTGTGCATGAGAGTAAAGGTCTCACAAATGAATCTGCGTTAGAAAGAGCACAGCTGCATGGTCACTACCCAGTGCAGTTGAAAATAACGCTAGAAACAGGTCGGGAAATGATTACATGTTACCGTTAATGGGTAAGAAGCATGGGTGGGTTGCAACAACCCACGTCAATGATTTTATATCAAACTGCATACCATATTGTCTCTGTTGGGTAAGACATAGACGAGCAAAACATTTTAACAAACAAATATCATTGAGCAAAAAAAGTTTTCCAACTCAATGTGTAATAACTTACAGTATAACTTATAATATATATCTTATAATATGCAATTTATAACATAATTGATATAACTTATAATATACAAGTCGTGAAGTAGATTTACATCTTGAAAAAGTCGAGGGGAGTTGTTTTTTTTACTGACCTTGAATTAGATCTAATATTTTTGACATTTTGAAATACATGTATGGTGGGAGAGGAAATGTCACAATTCTGGAAGCACGCCCCCCCCCCCAACCCCAACTGAAACTCTGTTTATATTTCAGGTTAGATTTATACTAGGCCAACGCCAGAGTTATGAAGTAGTTTAAACAGAAAAATATGAGTTATGAAGATGTGACAGACAATGAGTTAAACCAAAAAAATATGAGTTGTGTGACAGGCAATGAGTTTACCCCCCTCCCCCCCCCCCCTAGAGAAAAGCAATTATAAATAAATGTTTAAATACATTTTCTTCGTGCTGATCTATGTTAATGACACAAAATTGTAATAAAATCTTTTAATTACATCGTTAGCTTGTTATTTAAAATGTTTTTGCACTTAAATTTTATAATTCAGAATCAATTGACAGGTTATTAAAGACTAAATATCATTTTTGTGGTATAAATATGAATATTGTCAGTAAAGCTGACAGTTAAAGTATAGTTTCTAAGCTGCCCTCATCTTTCCAAGGAGTAGCCAGGTTTGCTCAATCGCAACAATGGGCATCAGGACATCATTTGGGTTGGGCAGGGGGCATTTGCAGGTTTTAATTTAATTTTTATGTACTGTGGCGCCTCCAGTAATACACAACTTAACAAGCCGATCAAGTTGTGGCCCCCCTGAAAAAACCTGAAATGACGCCCCTCGTGGGTATAGTCTGTAGTATCTGATTTATCAATTTCATCTTGCGGCACTGACATACCAGACAAGTCAACATCATCCTCATATAACCATTCAGCATTTAAAATAGAAGCATTGTCGGTGTGATCAAAAATTGCCATAAGCTCTCTCTGTCTCATGGCAGCTACTCGCATTGTTCGAATCATTTTTTGTTGAGGAGCAGGTTCTACTTTCTTATGCTCAAAAGGGCATTTTTGGTGCTGTTGAACATGCTTTTTCAACATGACTTGTGATCCAAAATAGATGGTAAGATTTTGCAAATCCGTTCAAGCTGCGATGTTATTATTGTTACTTACTTAACATTCCCCTCACTCTCAAAATATCGTATCCCTAATCTATTAATATCATTTAACTTTTGACTTCTCTTGCACAAACAAAGTGTGCTAATATTCTGACCAGCCATCTGCAGTGCACAAACAGACACAAATTAAATAAATCTTATATTATTAAAAGCTTTAAAATTATATGACTATTTACACTCATTGACACTTATTTTTTTTTAATAATGTAAAAAACCATTAAATTTTAAAGATTAAAATTTTAATAGAGAAATCATTATGTTTGACGTCAACTAATCTAAACCCCTCCCTCCCCCCTTGTCAACAACTGTCAAACATTTCCAAAAACCCCTCTCCCTATTTTGTTGACGTAATTAATGGACGTCCCAATTGACCATTGTAGACCGTAATAGAACATAGTAGACCGTAACAGAACTTAGTAGACCGTAATATACCATAGTATACCATAATAGTAGACCGTAATAGACCACAGTAATGTAACGGGATTAGTCACACCATTACTCTCAAATGTAATACATTGGTAAAAATCATATTTAATTTTCAAGCTATATTAAAATGAGATAAGATTCTTTATTGATATAAATAAATTGAAAATTTGTTTGATTACATTGTACCTATTGATTTTCAGTGTATGAAGTATGTATTTATTCATGTGCTGAAAATGAATATATACAATGTAATCATTTTTTTTACCTTTTTTAAATCAATAATTAATCTTATCTTGTCTATAAATAAATAAATATTTGAACCAAGACAACATTGAACAATTGTAATAATTTAAACACAAAATATCTCAAGTATTTCTCTAGCGTAGAAATTTTCCATCAATGAAGCATTTTTATTTCATTTTTTTTAAAACACAAGTCTCTTGAAAGGTTTATAAGAAAATGAGAAACATTTTTTTGTACAGCAGACAAAATTAAAAATTCTTCTCTTTTGGCTCTATGACTTATGTGTAGGAGAAACAACTGGTGCTTACTTTTTCTCATAGATTGATAGAAAAACCACGTAAAAATAAGACTATTTTCTCTCACGTCTATTACATTGATGACTTTTTTTAAAATTCACACTTATAGGTGGCGACTTATCAATGCTTATGGTCAAGATGAAACATTACTAATAAATAAATAATATGTGGTTATGCAATGTTTTTTTTAAAATTATAATTATAAATACATTGAATTTGGCTTAGAAGCTCTGGTATTTTTCAAATATTACAAAAACTTTATTTTACATTTCCCAAAAGATTCTTATTATCATATTTGTATGATTATTTAAATTTAAATATTAAGGATTTAAAATGTGGAAACAGGGGAAAATAAAACAACATTCATTGCCGTTAACTGTTCCATACCCTATCTACATGCAAACAGAATGGTACACAAAATTTGAGGGATTTGCTGCTTAATTAGTGACAAACACTGAAGGCTATAATCAGTTCCTATAGTTGCCCAGATTGATGACACCACAGTGAAGACAGCACTAATTACAGCACAGTGAAGACATCACTAATGACAGCACATTGATGACAGCAAGTGATGACAGCAAGTGATGACAGCAAGTGATGACAGCAAGTGATGACAGCAAGTTATGACAGCAAGTGATGACAGCACAATCATGACACCATAGTGATGAGAACAGTGACGGCAGCACACTGATGACAGCTCACTAATGACAACACAGTGATGACAGCACACTGATGACATCACAGTGATAATAGCACTCTGATTGCACCGCATTCAGGACATCGCATTGATGACGCCACACTGATGACAACACAGTAATGACAACACAGTGATAACACCACAGATAGTGATGACACCACAGTGATTACAGCACACTTATGACACCACACGACACCAAGTGATGACAGCACACAGATAACACCACATGATGACCCCACAGTGATGTTTTCACATGAGATAATGTTCAATCTCTCATCAGAAGATTTTGTTTGAATAATCCGTCACTTAACAAACGTTTCCTTAATTGTATCAGCCCTGCAGAGCTAGGAACAGGGAACCGTTGGTCTAAAGATAAGATGCAACAATAAAGCTAAGCATCTCGGACACATAAAATGTTTAAAAGCACTAAAACAATCTTAAAATCAAAGTATTATAATGATCATAATTTTTATTTTTATTTTTAATCTTTAAAAAAAAATATTTTGTCAAAGTTACAACATCGACACGGAAAAAAAAAATCATTAAAACATCCTAAATAAGTTACATGAGATCGTAACATGGAAATATTCAGCTTGGTGCCAACGGAACACGTGTTGACTTACAGACGTGACAGCTAGAAATGTGTGTGTGATTCTTATATGAGGTATGTTATATGTTAGGATTTCAGAGATCGGTGAGGTTGGCAAGTATTGAGTGAGGTGGTGCAACTTTGTTGGTATGGAAAATTGGGAGGAAGATTTGTGGGGGGGGGGGGGGTAATCTATTGTGCCTATTGTGCCCCATTCAAGAAATAATATTGGTATTTCAAAAACACAATGCAGTTGATTTCTAACTCGTGTGTGGGATAGGTATGTTATATGTTAGGATTTCAGAGATCGGTGGGGTTTGCAAGTATTGGGTGGGGTGGTGCAACTTTGTTGGTATGGAAAATTGGGAGGAAGATTTGTGGGGGGGGGGGGGCTGATCTATTGTGCCTATTGTGCCCCATTCAAGAAATAATATTGGTATTTCAACAACACAATGCAGTTGATTTCTAACTCGTGTGTGGGAGCATAGCCTCCTTCTCAACACCCACCACCCTATATTCCAGACAGTTGCTGATATTCTGAGACCGGAAGTTCTCCAACAAATCTAATC